GCCCAAAACGTACCGACAGCGAAGTGCACAGCCTCATCTCTCCATCGAGAAACGCGGGTGAAGAGAGAAACGAATGCACCACGCTTCCAACATGCCCGAACGGACGGAAAGCCTACACCTGTGCACGTGGGCGCAAAGGGAACACACCCCCTCACCCCTGGATCCACATGCGCCTGTTGCCGCGGGCACCACCAACAGCACTCGACGCAGGCGAAACCCAGGAGACAGAGGACAGTAGCCTTCAAAGCCCACAACCTAAACGCAGCGGAACCACAACGCAACGCGATCCGTCACGGTGTGCAGCATACCGAGACCACAGGATGGGGGACACGACGGGCACAAGCACGCATTCCAACAAGTCGGCCTGGATGACAGACCCAACCTCGCAACGCCGTCGGACGGTGCATCACGCATCCCACAAGTCTCTGCCGTCGCATACGGTAAGCAGCGGGTGCAGGGCTGAGGCCACCTGCGCGACCGCTCAATGGCGCCGCTCGGATGGCGAAGAGCGCAGAGCGTCCTCACCAAGTCGAGACACCCCCTCAACACAAACGGAACACACCGTTGTGAGTGCCGACACGAAGAAGACACCACAACAAAGTCGCAACAGCTCTCCCCGTAACCTACGGGATGATGGTGCCGAAGTTGAGAGTCGGTGACGGGCACCTCCGCCTCCACACCCTGCAAACGACCACCAAACGGACCACCGTCGGCGATCAGGCGCCAATCATCGCAAGACGATGAGCAAGGGTGAACGCAACGATCCACAACTCGGCACCATGCCATAGGAAAGCCCCGACAGCCGCAACCACCGCAAACGATGACCGAGCTGTCGTGAAATGAGCCCTCCAAGAGAGACGACCATGGACCCGCACGGCGCCGCAAAAATGTTCGCTCGACCACCAAAGAACGACTCGCCCGTCCCTCGCAAACTGGAAACCACCCAAAGCGTGTGCAGGGAGTCCCTCGTAACTCGAGCACAAGGTCCCAAAACCCACGCCCGGAACGTCGCCTTCGTCGACTGCAAGGGGGCTGCTAAGCACGCAGGCCCCTGTAAGAGTGCAAATGGGACTCCGAACCGCCAACCACCAACTGTTTGGCACATCCGGAGGGTGCTCACA